TGCACTGACTTATGTGAGAGGAGGCTGTTAAAAGCACAATCCTCTTCTCATGATGTGGCTGTCTCCTGACAGTTTCCTTGTGTAGTAACTGAACCCATCATTTTAGAAGATGTAATATATTAAAATCTTGGTTTGCTCTAAAGCCCACAGCCACAAATAGTACATGGACAAATAAACAGTAATGTTTACAGCATAGAAAGACTGCTTGTGAAGATGGGCTGTTTGAGTTACAGATCCAGGCATATGTGTTCTGTGGACCACTGGGATGTTACCCTGAAAATGAGAATGTGAGTCAGCTTGGTGGTCCTCTCTGAATGCTCAACAGGAGTGACACTGCTATTCTGTTTTGTGTTCCTGTGTTTAACAGAACCATATAATAATTTGGGTTGGAAGAAACTTTCAAAGGTCTTTTAGTCCAACAGTCCTGCAAGGATCAGGGAGATTTTCAAGTAGATCAGATTGCTCAGAGCCCCATCCAACCTGACCTTGAATGTTCCCAGAGATGGGGCATTCACCACCTCTCTGGGCCACCTGGGCCAGTGTCTCACTATGCTCATTATAAAAAGCTTATTTCTTATATCTGGTTGAAATCTACCCTCTTTTATTTTAAAACTGCCAGCCCTTCTCTTGTTGCTACACACTTTGCTAAAAAGTTTGTGTGTCTTTCTTGTTAGCCCCCCTTACTGAAAGGCCACAATCAGGTTTCCCCAAAGCCTTCTCTTCTCCAGAATGAGCAAACCAAGTGTTCTTAGCCTGTCTCCATATGGAGAGGTGTTCCATGCCTCTGAACTTTAAAAGGGGTAGTGATGGTATTCTTTGGGTTCCCTTGTAGAAGATCTGTCTTTTCCTTATCCTGGAGTTAAAGTTAGTGACATTCACAAATTTCTTAGTTGCTCTCTACCAATATTATTTGTTTCTGAGCCAAAATGAACTGTAGTCAATGAGTATCAATACAAAATTGTTAGCAGAGAATTTTTTTAGTAGCAGCGCTTTTAGGTTTATAACTGCACCAAAAATACTTGTGTCACAAACACTGAGATGAGTATATGTTTTTCACAGGGCACTGCAGGAGTCCCTGGTTTGGCAGGGGCTGCAAGCACCAGTTATTCCTGCTTTGCTGTGTAATGATGCCTCTTGTCTGCACCTCAAGGTGCACCATTTTTAACACCTAGAAATGCTGCCCAGGTTCTAATTGAAAAACTGAAATGTCAGCCTCAAAATGAGAAGTGTCAGCCTCTTTTCAAAAGTTTCTAGTTACTTACAGGCTCAAGTAGCTGCCTACTAAGATTTCTAAGAATGTTTCTGTGCTTAACCTCTATTACTTTCAGCTGTTAAGAATCTTTTTAAAGTCTGTTTCTTTGGGAACCTTTTGAAGTTAAGTATGGGTAAATCTGAAGGAATGGTGGGAGTGTGAAATGGGACAAAATTCTAATTTGAAACCTGGATTCTTAAACCTTTTCTGAGATATTTCTATATTGCATTTGCCCTGCCCTTTCAATTGATGTAATATGAGATAAGCCTGTATAATGCAAAATATGGAGAATGTTTTATTCATTTTTGCTGCAAGTGCTAAAAAGGAAAAAAAAAACACCCCAGAAAAAGAAAATAAGTAAAGCCTTTAAAAATTGTATTTATAGTATAGGTTTCAAAGCCTTGCAGACAGCATCTCATGCAGGTTGTCTAAATACTTGTATCAAGTATTTCAGTAGTCTTTCAGTAAGAATTTAATGTGAAGTTATGCTGTAATTATACATGCACACATCTTTGAATTCTACATTTAGAGATAAACCCTGAATTTAAATGGATCTTAGAGGAGCAGCTGAGATTTTGCTGAACAAGAAGAGTCCTCTAGTGTAAAGGAATATCTTTTGTGTTCCTTCCTGCCTTCTAAATAGGGGTGGAGAGGACACTGTCAGGCTGCTACAGTATTTGGGCTTTGTCTGCTGCCATCATCATATTTACTAATACAGATTTGTATCCATAATTTAGATGAAGATCTATTTGCCAGTGCATAGCTGAATACTTTAAGCTCATTTGGCAGTATGTGTTGGCATAGCAGTCATCATGGAAGCAAAATGTATGTTTGTATTTGGATCTTGTGGCAGATGTGTAATACAACAGAGCTACTGCTTTGGCATGGGCACTTTCCTGGCTCTGCCCCCATTTGAAGTGTTCCCTGCTTATGATCTGTGATTGTGGCTCATATTGATGTTTAACTGCCTTTTCAGATTGAAAATAGCATTATTCTCTGTTCTTTTATTTTTCTTTTTTCTTTCTTCTTTTTTTTTTTTTTTTTTTTTTTGTTGTTGTTGTTCTTGTGATGTTTCAAAGAGAGCACAGCATCGTACAAACACAGTGGAAACAAAACTTTATAATACACTTTTTCTCAACTCCTATATGGATTCCTAAAACAATTTGTAACCCACCTATCTCATTTGGTAGCTGAAAAGCCAGGGTTTGCAGTCAAGTCATTAGAAAGTGCAGGTGACTGAATTACGGTGAAGGCTCAAGTATGTTTAAATTATTCTGTGTGAGTACGTATTTATGTAGGGGACAAAAAAGATAAAGAGAAGAGGAAATACTTTTTTTGTGGAACTTGGGGCAAAAGAGTGAGTTTTGTGGAGTGAACTTAAGGTGTATATGTAGTTTGCCCTCAAAACAGGGTTTAACTAGTCTTTTTAGGTAAGTTAATTTGCCAGATAAAATTTCTGCTATCAAAGAAGCAGCACTCTCTGTTCATTTTGCATTTACAGGGTATTTTTTCAAAAGAAATTTCAACTAGGCTCCTTAATTTCTGCCTTTCTGTTAATATTAAAGTTACAGCATCAAATTGGAATGCTATGTCTCAGTTTTAGCTGTCTTTCTGGAGGCAGAGCAGGATGAAGACAGGAGAAAGTCTGAAGACGGAAAGGGCTGGAAGGAAGGAGAAGCAGCAGTAGCTTAACTGATTGTTTGCCTTTGCCTTACACAAATGTGGCCATTCAAACACCACACATTAAACAAACACACCAGAAATTGATAAAATAAAACTTGATAATGGGATATTGAACTGTCTTTGTAAGTTAAATTCTGGCTGTATTTAATTAAGTAAAAATTATGTTTCAACCATGGTACTTTGCCTTATTATTAAATGAAGGGAAAATGTAGGTGAAATAAAACTGTTGCTGCCTTACTTACTGGAGCTTTTATTTCCCCTTGTCCATATGTGTATTGTGAGAACACAAAGCATAACAAATAGCGTTTGCATTTAGTTCTGAATGAGGTCCATGATCACTCTTCTTTCTGTGAAAGCAAGCTTCAAAGCCTGTCTGGCTGCCCAAAGACTTTGCATTTCTGCACATGTGATGGATGGGTTCATTTTTCTAATAAAGCATGGCTGTTGTTGGAGGTCGTGGTCACAGGAGAGACACAATCCATCTTTAAGGAGGGGCAGTTCTACAGAGGCCTTGAATGCCAAGACAGAGATGGAACATTTCATTTTTTATTTGATGTAGAGGGCCAGTGCAGAGACACTATCTTGTTTTAAATTTTTTTTTTTTTTTTTAATTACTAAGAAGGTGGGAGCTGTATCCGGTACAAACATCAACCATTTTAGAGATTTTGGCTTAGGTCCCAAGTGTAATGAATCTGGAGGCTGCAAATGTGTGTGTTTCTATGGCCAGATCGCTGATGAGGTAGGGAAATCAAACCTCTGGCCATGCACAGATGGTGTTAGACTTGCCTGTCTGAGCATCCATCCTTAGGAACTGAGGTCTCACAGGCTGCATGCTAAGTAGCAGACAGTGCCTGTAATCAAAAGAAACATTATGGCCTAGGGAAATTCTTCAGAGCAATTCCCATCAATACACATAGTAAATGTGTATTTTAAGTACCTTTGAGAAGTAGGAACTCTTGTTAGGAGAGAATCTGAAGGTGGATCTTCTCATTGGCCAGGCAAATTCTGTTACGTGTATGCCCTCCTTTTTGCTTTCTGGACTACTTGTAGATGTTTGACGTTGGTTGTGATGAGGGTTACTGAGCCCTTTTCATTTAGATCAAAAAGAAGCAAATTAGTAGTAACAACTTTTCTTCACTGAATTAGTTGTAGTTGGACTAGCGTACGAGGGATGTAGAATTACACACGTTACCAGTCTCCTTATGGATCTGTTTTGGTTTTTAAGCTCTAAAAATGAGATTGTTCTCTCATGGTGAATTTATTTGGTATTTTAATTATATCGCCTAAAGACTATGTCTGAATACTGCATATGTGGCTGTTTGAGAACAAGGTAGAATACTTTCTCTAAGTGTGAAGAATGCTAATTATCTTTTCCCCCTTAGCTTCTGCTCTTAGACCTGTGGGAGACAGATGTTATTTAGCAAAGGGAGGAATGAACATCATTTCTTCTGGGCTCAGAAGAAGTTAAAACGTTAAATGTGTCTGCTGTGGTTCATTGACATGTCTGTTCTTAGATTTGTTCTTTCAATAACCATCTCTGAAAGGTGGCAGGAAACACCAGCACTGTCAGTACAGGATCAAAACTAGGAAAGAGCTGTATGTTCACCAGAAAATGGGAAATTCAACTCATGCTTAGACTTTAAAAAACCAGGATATATTGTATACCTATTCACTGAACTCAACATTCAGAAGTATAATATGTTACAGAGTCCCAATTTTATCTTTCCTGTGCTTGTTTCATTTATTTATACTAAGCTTTGTTTAGTATAACAGTTTTAAACTTAACAGGTACGGATTTAAGTATCTAAGGTAATGCTAGTGCTGGGCTATAGTTAAAAGTGTGTTTTCCTTTGGAATTTAATAATTTGGCAGTTGATCTGTTTCTTTTCAGCCTTATTCTTGTGCTGTGATCATCATCCTGGTATTGGAATAAATGGCACATAAACTCTTTTAGAGGAGAAGAGGGTTTGCATGTACCAATATTCAGTTTATTTGAGGTTAAGATTTCTTAAAAAATATATTCTTAAAAGCAAACATTTTTGCTGTATTTTTATTTGTCTTTCAGGTTGATCCAGCTTTGAAAGAAAAATTAAAACAGAACACTGTGACACTGGAATCTGAATATGAGGTAAAATAAATTTGTTGCCTGGGGCCCATAACCTTGGCTACCCTTGATTACCCTGGCCGCTGGTGGGTCGTATCTGTCCCTAACTAAAATTAGATCAACCATCTGCCTTTGACTCGCTGATGTCCAATAAAAACAAGGTTTTATGTAAAGAAAGGTTTTTGAACACGTAGTGCTTCTTTCTGAACGCAGCTTTACTTTGATTTCCAGGCATCAAGTACAGTGGTACAAATAAATTCACTATTTCTGTGGTTAACCTAGTTTATAAATGTAGAGCTGATGTTGGCTTTAGAGGGAGTGTGTGTGAATGAAAGTCAGCACTTCTACTGCATGAGTTTGGATGATCTTTAGACCAAATTACAGAACAATGTGCATGATGTACTTTATGTTATTTCTTGCTTCTGAAATTTACATGTATCTTTGAAACAACTGTCATTCCTTTTACATAGTTTCAGAAAATTCTGTAGAAAAATAGTTCGCTCTTACCTCAAAACTGCATTTTCTTCAAATATTACTGAATTCTAAAATGTCTGTTTTGACCAGTTCAGTATCCAGAGTCTCATAAATTTTCAGGCCTACAAAAAGCCATGTTAGAAAAACTGGAAAAAGCCTCCCTGTGAGCAGAAACAAAGGATAAAGCTATTTAAGGTTATTCTTAATGTTCTAAAATTAATTGAATCAAATGTCCAACTAACACTTCATCTATCTCTGTGGCCTTTATGCTGAAAACAGATTTTTGGTTTCTTCCCATACCACATTTCCCATTTCTCTCACAAGCCTTTGAAGATCTTGATTGCACCCATTGCTCTCATACTTAGGTGTCCAAATGGCAGTACATAATCTGGATCATAAAATTTTACTATTTTATTACTCTTTTGTAATTTGTCTGAAATAAAAATAAAACCTACTTTTTGTACTTTCACAGGTGTAATTTCACAAAATATTTGCTAATTTTTACCATTATTGCAAATAACTTTGGACTCTCCCCCACTATAAAGAACTGTGATTTCTGGTGCAGGGAATAACAAGATGGAAAGTTCCAATGGAGACTTAAAACTTAGGAATCCATTAAGTTCTGAGTGCTTCTGGGATTACTGTCTCTCAGTTTCCATTCAATATATTGTAAGGCTGCTCTGATTTATTTGTGGACGAAAAAATAAAAAGAACCACAAGCAGTAAAAAGAAGGACATCTCAAACTCAATATCTAACCTCAAAATCAACAGATCTGTATTCTGATATACCATACTCTTTCTTCAGAAGATCAGTAAATAGGTTAAGGATAATATTTAAATAGCCATAATGCCATTTCCTTTATGGATAAATCAATGCTAATAAAATACATCTGGCATAACAATATATTACAAGCCTTCTTAGGTAATGAGGCTCTGTTCTGATGGACAGAAATGACAGAAGCAATCTTATTTTTTCTTAATCTAAACTGTAGAGAGTTCCCAGACTGAAATTCTTCCAGAGTAGTGCTTGGGTGTTATAGAGGGTATATTCAGTTCAACAAAACAAATGGTTTTGCATAATGAAAATAGATTTGGATTATTGTTTTAAAATCTAATATCAATATATACTTTATTAGGGGCACCAACTTGCAAGCACACTTTAATTTCTTGCTTCAGTGAAACTACCAGCAGTCATGCACATAGTTTGCAGGCTCCACACTAAGTGTGTGACCATTTTAAGTCACTGTTATCTCTGTATTCTCGTGGACAAAATCTAACCAGTCACCCAGTTACAACTTACATTTAGGAGAGTAGTTTTCTGTGGACCCCATCTTTTCCAGACTAGAGGGGTTTGGGTGGACGTTTTTCTCCTTTCTTTATTTTTTGACTTGTCCAAAATACAGCTCTTAGGAACACCTTCTAATTCAATATATAGGTCACATTGAAGGATTACACTGGTGGCTGTTACTAAATATGGTGTGATAAGAGATCAAGGGCAGTTAAAAAAAAAAAAAAAGTTGCTGTTTGGATATGTAAAGCCTTATTTTACAATATTATTAGCATTATATCTGCAGCTGTTACAGAGGATACCATGCCAGCTCTTTTGAAGTGTGGTTGACTGATAAATGCAAATGTCCTTTGGCCCTCCCCAAGACTTTTAAAAATATCTTACTGTCCTTACAGAAATGTACATATTGAATTCATACTGAATTCTTCTAGAATGTCATAATTTCTTCTATAAGCATACATATATGCCCTTATGGGCATATTGCAAAAAGTAAAGACATTTCCAATATTTCAAACATGTTGAAATCTGCGTTTTGTCTCTGATGTGGTGGTCGTGGCAATGTAAAAAGATATAATCACAGACCTAATTTATTGTGATGAAATTAACATGAAGACATTTTCTTACCTTCTCATTTACTAAATTATATGTTCTCAAACTATAAAAGGTTTATTTCATACAGGAATCTTTCTGGTCAGGATACTGTTTTGAGGAAGGAAGAATTTGCATGTGTAATTCATACTGCATTTATTGTATCTCAGATCTGTTAATACTGGCATTTATCTTGTGTCTTGGGACATGCCAGAGGAGCAAGCTACCTTTGCATACACACTTCATTGTTTGTGCGTTCCTCTCTCACACTTTTGTGTCCTCATATGACCAATTAGTCCCTGCTACTCCCCTTTGCTTAATAAATCACAGCTCTGTCCACTAGTGGTGCTGGTACTAATGTGAATGCAGTTCTGCTGCTGAGCTGGGCCTTGTAGAACACACTGTAAAAAATGCTGAGTGTTTGACCTGTGACAAAAGCCTGAGTATTTTATTTGAAAGGACAAAAATTTGTTTGAAAAAGGGAGATTAAAAAACCTGATTAATATGATGAGTGAAAACCATTCTTGTGGTTGTTTAACAGTCATAGTACATTCCTTTTCATGTGTTTCATGCAATCTCAAAATAGCATTCCTAATTCTAGCACTTGGATTCTGTACTTCTGTGAAATTAATGGTCTAATAAACACTAAAAAATCTGGCCCTAGTTACATCACACCTCAAAATATATAATTGTTGTTAAGGGTTTTTCTAGCAAAGAAAAGCTTTATGAATTTACTAACATTCTGCCGTGATATTCAGTGGGAATCAATAGCAATTGAAAGTAGAGGAAAAAATATTCCAATAAATAAGAACGTGAAGGATTGCTATGGAAACAGTTAATGAGTTAGTCATAAAGCAGGGAAGACTGCTAAAATATGCTAAGGGCATCAGAGCTGTCTGATAAGTAATCTGACAAGGATGGGGTAAGAGGATGGTATTGCAACAAACCAAGAATAAAATAATGAGGATGTAAAATAATGAGTAGCCAAAATGGCAAAGTAGCAACATTCAAAAGTGTATCTGTATTTTTTTTAAGAAAAAAAGTCCTTTTTATTCCAATGAGATGTGCTTAATACTAAAACAAGATGTTAAATACCTACTAGACTTTGATGGTTTATAGCTATGTTCTAAGAATGGGCTTGGAACACTTCAGTGGCTGCTGGAAATTTCAGTCTGGGATGATGGTTCTCTGGGAATCATCACTGGGCAGGAAGGTGATACTATTAAAAGAGTTCTGGGAAATTTGGGACATACAGGCACTATTGAGTACTTTTTCAGTGATGTGAAAGAAATTGCACATTACTAATGTGCAAGTGATATGAAAATAGTAAATAATATTACAATAGTAAAACTGTGCCAAGGCAGGGACAGAGAACTGTTCATATTACTTGCTAACATGGGCCCATTAAAAGTGCTAAGTACCTTTTCGAGTAGCTGAAGTTATTTATTTAAAAAACTGAAAATGCAGGCCAGAATGGACTGCATTCTGAAAAACAGCAGCTCTGGAAAAGATTTAGGAGTTGGTGAATAAATTCAGCTTGATCTTCTAGTGTGATCTTGTGGCACAAAAGCTAATTCAGTGTGTGAATATGAACAGGAATGGTTGATGTAGGAACAGGTGATTTTACTTCTGAGTGTGGCATTTGTGAGGCTGGGACTGAAATTCTGGTTCTCCTTTTGGTATCCAGGTTTTGAACAAGGCTTTAAGAACAGATTGCAGAACAGGCTGACTGTACTAACTTAGGGCTCTAAAAAATTCCTTCAAAGAAACTTAAATATTTAAATAATATTAAAGGTACTGAGAAGAATGGTGTTTTCATATAAATACTTCCATAGGAAGAAGGTGATAGCAATTGAACATTTTTTACTGCAGAAAATGTATTAAACTTAGAAGTAAGATCTGTTCTTAATACCTGGGAATGTAATTTGAACACAAAAGAAAGACAAATTAATCTTCTGTGTTTCAGAATATCAAAAATGTAAAACTTTATAAAGTTTTCCTTCAGCTGGTTGCAAGGATGGCATCATTGACTGCAGGCTGGTCTGCAAATGGTCACACTAGAGAGTGCTGCTTTCGTGACTTAAAGAGTATGAATGTTGAGAAGGTTTCGTTCCTTATAATTTCATAATTCACAAAAAGTCAACATTAGCTCTGGACAGAAGTTTTTTAGTGGTTTGTCCTGAGAATTACAGCAAAAGACTTGTAATTGCAGTATTGAAATGTATATTGAGGACAGTTCAAAAATTAAAAGTAGGTATATGGAGGTGTTTTGGGAATATAACCTATATATTTACTGTCTTAAAAGAAGAATTTGGATAGGCTCTTCTGAAAAAGACTCTGGCCACTTATTGTTCATTTGACATAACTTCAGGGATTGTGGTGTCAGCACAATGGATGAAACTTTCTTCAGGGAGTGACAGTGTAGTAACACAGTAATTGCATCCAAGTGTGTGGACATCAGGAGTGCTCTAGAAAGAAATTCCTTTATGTCAGTCATTGATATCTGCAAGTGTCTTGTTTTTGTCATTATCAGTACCAGATGATTACTGATTTTGTTGCTGTTGAAGAATTAACAGATTAGTGTACTGAATTGATTTGTTTCAATGTCTATGAAGATATTGGTGGCTAAATGCCTTGAGCTGCTTGAGAGCTCACAGAGATGTTGGGAAAATAT